TCCATTTTACTCAGGTTTTCAAAATCATTTGTTAAAAGTTAGAAAGTCTATTATAAATTGTTTTAATTTCTCATGAGATGCATATGAAAGTCTGGAGATAGCCCGGGCATGTTCCTTACCTTGGTAAAATGATTTTTTCTTCAGCTGTTAGGAAGGCATAGTCATTAAAAGTGCTAAATTTCATAGATGGTGGATATTTGAATGGTTTTGCTCCAAAATTGAATTCACATTGTTGATATGACATGAAACTAGCTGCGGCAAAAAATCCAGATCTACAAATAAAAGTGAGTACAGAGGTCATTAGAATTGATAAAAAACAAAGTAAAGTTTATACACAGAGCAGTTTTCAGAAAGGCAGGATGACTCAGTCACACCCTAGCAGAAAGGAAGGGTGACAGATTCTGTTTACTAGCCCAGACAGGTTGTGAACCACAGAATATCCTGTCCTTATCTTACTATATCAAACTTTGGGATAGTTTTAGTCTGATCAAATGGGTCCCCAATTACTTAAAATAAATTAATGTCCCATCATAATTGCCTACATAAATGGACAAAGATTTATTTTTTTTTCTGGAGAAAAGCACATTTCATGCAGCTACTCAAATTTTGACTGAGAAGAGCTACTTACACAGTAGATGAAAAGACTTGCTTCTCAGGAGGCAGCTGGTTGCCATTTAAAAAGAAGATCATTTGCTTTTCATTCAAGTCTAACAGAAATCCTACTGTGTCTCCTAGAGGATAAAGTGAAGCACTGTTAGGATAATGGTGTGTACTACCAGGATTCTGCTAAGTTTCTCAAGTGTTTCAATAGCACTGTACTAAGCTTGCATCTTTAGCCATGTATTCAGCATGTTCATCTTTTTTGTTTCCTCTGCAACTGATCTCACCCTTACATACCAATATTTTAATTTACCATTTAGAGAAAAATGCTACCAACTAAACTATGACAAGCTATCAATTGTAAGATACATCCCAATTTCAAAGATGTTAAAATCTGGAAAAAAACATGTGCATTTTGGGATCAATGAAATATAGTAAGGTCAAAATCATGTGCTTATTTGCCTCTCTGGTGAGATTTATAACCTCCCTACATAACTACCCAAAAACCTGTTTTTAACAAAAAAGTATTAATCTTTACTCATCAAGTAAAACAGTGAGATTTTAGTTTTTGCTTTTTAAAGATAAGATAAACAAATTAAATTACATATGACAAGAAAAATGGACACAAAATGCTGGTAGAAGAAAATCTGGCAATATATA